GGATGCATACGTCCACAACACGCAAACTCGTAAAATTCTTAATAATACTAATAAGAGTACATAATAGAGAACGAGTATGACACTGTTTTAACACGTTTTTCGTGTTTCAACTTGACTTTATTCTATTAATCGTGATAAATATATTCAAACGTTACCTTTGTACTTGTTTTGTTCTCTGATTTACCTTAATCATAAGCCAGTTACCTGAAAAATCTAACTTGTTCTTCAACAACAGTATCTTTGAAAACTGACGCGACATGGTTTACAACGTACCTTTTCCCGCACGATTTTTTGCATCTCTCCGATAAAGTTTGTTGTTACTACGGCAACAACTGCACGCTGTGGGGATACATTGGACATGAATTGTATGCAGTGTGTATTATATATCCTTGCGTATTCCGCAAAAACAAGCGTGCTAAAGATATAAATGTGATCACTGGCGTGCTAGCAGCGATGTTTCAGACTGTGATGCCCATCGGGTTCCGCGTATGATACACGACAGCTGCTATTGACTCAGTGCTACATAATATCCCCAATCAGACCGCCCAGCGTGCCGTAGTAAACACTCACTCGCTATCGAACACAGATGCAAATGGTGGCGATAAAAGCCGTGTGAACCGTCGTGTATTCAAAGAAATTTTGTGAAGAAACACATACGATTTTTCAGGTAACTGGTGCGTGTATATGGTTAAGGGAAACTCAGAGACAAAATAAGTAGTCTCTCGAACATATTCTATTACACGCATCGTGATCAGAACATACAATTAAGTTGAAAACAACGCAAAACGCTGATACTAACACGTCGTCAACTCTCAAACGTCTATTATGTATCTCTTGATATATATCACACGAATATATACCATTATATTTATACCAACAATATGTAAACGTAAAATGTCCAAAGTTCAGCACACGCGACAAGCAGAAAATTCTTGTGTTGCATCTCGAAGTATATGACATTAATAATATTTTAATTATATAATTATTATTAATTTCAGCCTGTAATATCTATTACCTCTTATAATTACTTAGTCACCAAACTCCGCTTTACCGTTTCGAGACCTGCTGCGGCTTACATTCTATACTACAATCTCACACTGTTATGTGGCTGAGGGAGGCCTTGATAAATCGCTAAACCTTTATCACCCGTGGCTGAGGGAACCTTGACTACATCTCTCACCCTGTTATCCACAGTGGCTGAGAGGAGCCTTTAGACTACAATCCTGCCACGACCTGTTATCGTGGCTGAGGGAGGCCTTGACTACAATCCTCACCTGTTATCGTGGCTGAGGATGCTAGATCTCACGGCTGCTGCTTGTTCGTCAGGCCATATGTCACTTGCAGATCGAAGGTCGCGCAGCGTCGTAGAGGCGGATGCGCGAGTCTATCGACGTGATCAGGATCTTGTTCTCACTCGGCAGCGGACTCGATGCCGGCTGATCTTACTGCTCTGTCGCGTTCTTGCGCGCGGCTCGACCTGGTGAGGTGGAGGGCCGCAGTTACAACGCAGACGACGCCGACCCGTGGATGTGACGAGAGGCGCACGTTACCCGCGGCGACGGATCGCCGTCACGAACGTATTCCAAACATTGCGCACGGAACAACACAATTCCGCTACACAGTCAGCCACATCATATTCAGCTACGCACGCATGCAAGCACACACATCAAGCAACACACACACACAGCACACACACGCATGCACATCACACAGCGCGCCTCGCCGCTCGAGCGAAATGACCAGGCGACGTTTACAACACGGGTGGGGATTCACGACACACACACATCACGCATGACATAAGCACACCCCTCGCCTCGCGAGCAAGACCGAGGCGACGTACACACACAACACAAGCACGGCTCACCCCCCACCTCGCCCTCGCAGCGATAGACTCAGGCGCGGTACACACGCACACACACACACACAATGCACACACCATGCCTGCCCTCAGCAGCGAAGACCAGGCGACGACCACACACCACACACACGAGTGCACATGCAAACACACACCATCGCCTCGCAGCGAAGACTCAGGCGACTGTACCGACACATACACACACACACACCACAACCACACACACGCATGCACACACACAACACACAACACATCACCTCTGTAGCGACCGACAGCAAAGCACACGCACGCAAGCGCACTTAGCAACGCACGCAACGCACGCAGCGCACGCAAGCAGCACGACACACACACACACGCAATCACACACCGCATGCACACACACATCACACACAACCTCGCAGCGACGACGGCAGGCAAAGCACACCATCGCACGACGCACGCACGCACGGCACGCACGCACGAAAACGACACACTAACACAGTCCCACCACCACACACACCTGACGTGGATCTGCGTGAGTACTTGCCCTCGTTGCTGTAGAAGATGCAGCGTACGTCCGTGACGTGCCAACGACGCGAAGCGACGTTCTGGACAGAAAGTTTGCCGGCCGTGATCATTTCGTCGCCTCCGTCCACCCTCGTTCTCACAGCGCCACTAAGGGGGAATTACACATATAACTCAACACATGCAAAACAAAAAGAATTACACATTAAGAGTAATTAAGAATTAATTGAGAAATACATAATTCATTAAGAATTAAGTGTCAGAGAATTAACACATTCTAACTCGGAGACTGAACACGCATAACACCTCTTGGAAGCTCTTGAGTTGTGCCTATAGATATGGCTTAAACCCGAAACGGCGGCGAGAATAGACCGCGCTGCTCAACATCAGCTGAGGGCTGGGACGTTCATGGTAGCGCACGCATCCAAGATTTCACAAAGTCGGATGGGGGGGGGTCAATTTCTACCCAACTTTTCTCATCAAATTGTATTCTGAAACCTCCCGCAAAAACAAACTTTTCTATCCGCCTCCTTCTCGCTCCCCCCCTCGCCCCTTCTCCCGCGCCGACTCTTCTTGTCGGGGAGTTCCCACAGCCGCAGCTTGCCCGCAAGGGAGCCCGCTGGAGGACTAGCGGTCGTCCTTCCTCCCCTCCGTCCTTGGCCCCTCCCCTCTCCCTCTCTCCCGCTGCTTCCCTCCTCCCGCGCCCTCCCCTCCTCCCGGCACCTTCTGTTGTCGGGATGTTCACAGCCGCACTGCCGTGAGGGAGCCGCTGAGGTAGGTAGCGTCGTCCTTCGGGTGGAACGCGATCGCCGTCCACAAGTCGATGTGCTGGAAGCAACCGAGGCACTCGGCGCGCGGACACGTGCCACAACCGCACCGTCTTTGTCATGTCAGACGACAGATGTAAGTGTTGGCGACCAGACACTGAGAACGCCGCCGGAGTGCCCGCAGGAACGCAGAACGACGCGCGAAACGGCGCGCGATTCGTCCATCGTCTGGAGTCGGGGTCGGCGGGGTCGTCGCCGGGGGGGTCGCGCAAGAGGCGGGGCGGTTTCCTTGGGGGGACGGAAAGGAAGGGTGGCGTCGTCGCGAGCGTGCGGCTTTCTCCCTCTCCCGGCGCGTTCACGTTGAGGCTGTCCTGTAGAGAGCGAAGCGGAGAGAATGAGTTGAGGAAAAGATGAAAGGAGAGGAGCAACAGAGACGGAGGAGGCTGAGTAGAGAACGAGACCGGGAGTGCAGAGAGAAGACCGAGCAAAGAGAGAGGGAGAGATATGAGAGAGAGAGAGAGAGAGAGGAGACGAGAGGAGAGGAGAGGAGAGAGAGGAAGGTCGGCAGGAGAGAGACGAGAGAAGAGACGAGACGAGAGAGAGAGGAAACGAGGAGAGACAATGAGAGAGAACAGAGAAGGCAGGGAGAAAGAAGAATTCACAGAAAAATTCGGCGATGCGTGAGGAAATAAAATATTTCTATAAAATCTCAGAGCATTTTGCATCCATCAAATTTGGACGATGTGCAGGGAGCATTTAAAGGGAGATTCAGCAGAATTGTGTTGGGGGGTATAATATAGATAATTTTCCATATGCAACGTACTTAAAGATTTTACGGCAACACTTCACTAAACATCTCACGCCAGTCATGTCCAGAATGAGACGGGATACTAGAGAGCGTTGCGAAGGAGTGTGTTTGATCGTAAGCACTGACGCAGATTTGCGGCGCGACTTCCGCGGCAAGGTGCTCTGCGACCGACGGAAGATTGTTACGACAGTATGCCAGCCGCTGGCAGCCTATGGATCGCGTCGAGCCGGTGCCGTAGGCCGCGCACGGATCCATAGCTTTGCGTATGCGAGCAGTCGAGAATTTTAGGAAGAATAGACTGAAGAGCTGAGACTTTCGATCTTTCACATTACTGGGCCGCTTCATAACTGCCGCCTCTTCTTTCTTCCGAATCGAATCGGTATCAGGACGAATCATGTCTAAATTTACTTGGACTAACAATAACATATAGTAATGTAATTACTGGACCAATTGTACCATTATTAGCAATGGCAGCATGTAACTGCAGCTAATAGCAGCATGTCAAGCTAAATGCCATTGCTGTATTTCTTTGAAAAGCACTAAGACGACTAAAACTCGCCGGCGACACCATAGGTTGGCATAAAACAACTTGTAAATGACAGAATGAACATAACCCTTGCCTAAAATGGGTTGCTTCATTTTTTGTGAACATCATTGAATTGCCCATCTATTTTCAATTGTCAAATGATGGGGGTAGGGTAGGCATTAATAATATGATAACTGCAGTTAGAATAGTATAATAGACTATTATAATCATTGTATTGTTACGATGTACGTACCATGATTAATTGAGAGCTTGCAACATAATATTATTACCGTGATGTATGGATTATGGTATAAAATTTTCAAGTAATGTGAAAAATAGATAGAGAACGATTTAGAATTGGTCGAGTGCATGATGCAGGGCACCGGTAATAATGTTGCATAACTAAGCTAGAACCTTAAACAGTCACCGATACTCCCGATCGTCACACGCGTCGCGTGAACACTGGAAAAAACAAAACAAAAAACAATGGAACGCCGGCGGCGGCGGCGGCGACTCACCTGCGAAGAGAGGGCGACACCT